TGTCAAGATCAGCTCAGTAGATGGTGATTTCTCCATGGACATCAATGTAACTAAAGTGGACAAACCCCAATTGATGCACTTAACCCAAATTATGAAACGTTATTGAAAAACCATTCACATCTCAATAGAGTTCGAATCAATGATGTTGACATCAACCCTCATCTACCCGTGCATGTAGTACTTGGCGCCAGCGAGTATGCGGCAATAAAAACGAAGACTGCACCAAGAATTAGATCACCAGGTCAGCCAGTAGCAGAGAAGACCTTGCTCGGTTGGACAATCATGTCTCCAGGTCAAGAGGTAGATTCCACACTACTATTACTTACCAGCTCAAAGTGTGTCGACTTTGAGCAGCTTTGTAGTCTGGATGTTCTCGGATTAATTGACTCTCCGGCAGAAGAGCAAGTGTACCAAGAGTTCAAAGAACAATTGAGACGGAGTCGGAGGGGTGGTACGAAACTGGGCTCCCTTGGAAGGGCACTAGGGGTCCACACAGAACTGCCCACTAACAAGGCTGGAAGTGAAGACTACGGCAGCTGGTAAAGAAACACGACTATGACAACAATTATTCACCATATGACAACGTCATTCAAAAGCAGATAAAGGAGGGAATCGTCGAGCCGGCCCCAGCAGAGGTGATCGGAAATGAATTCTACCTTCCAGATAAAGCAATAATAAAACAAAAAGCAGAAAGTTCGAGAATGAGAGTGGTTTATGATGCCTCAGCTAAAGAACGAGGAGACCAGCCATCCCTGAATGATTGCCTACAGCCTGGTCTGCCATTACAGAGCTTACTGTGAACAGTACTTGTATGATCACGAACTTATCCAGTCGCGATCACCGGAGATTTGCAGAAAGCGTTTTTGCAAATCCGAATTCGCGGGAGGCAGAGCGTGATTCTGTGAGATTCCACGGGCAACCACCTGTACAATCGAACATTAAAGTTTATCGTTTCACACGAGTCCTATTTGGCTTGACCTTTTCCCCATTCCTGTTGGGTGGGGTCATCAACCAACACCTCACACTGTGGAAAGATCGGTATCCAGAGTTCGTTGAAGAAGTACGCAAGAATGTGTATGTGGATGACTGGCTGTCGGGTGGCGCTACGGTTGAAGAAGCACAAACGAAGAAGTCTAAAGCAAAGGAAATCTTCAAAGATGCAACGTTCAATCTCTACAAGTGGCATAGCAACGAGAAGAAGTTAGAGAAGAACGATGAAGTAAATGTCGATAATGGTGAGGTCTCGTACACCAAACAACATGCAGTTGGGTACCACATCATCTGAAACTAAGCTGCTTGGCCTCACGTGAGATAAAGAGAATGATACATGGAGAATTGAATTCCCAAAGGGAGCAACAGAGCAAACCAAGAGAGGAGTCTTATCAACCTTAGCCAAAGTATATATGACCCGCGCGGGTTAGTCTCCCCAACAAGATTATCTGGAAAGCTTATCTTCCGTGACATAAGTGATGAGAGATTCGCCTGGGATACCGAGCTGCCTAACCCACTGCGAATAGCATGGAACAAATGGTACAACAATCTGCCAACATCGGCGGTGACCTTCCCCAGATCAAGTAAACTCCTCCAACAACCAAGCAAGGAAGTAACCTTACACGCATTTGGAGATGCAAGTGGGAAGGGTATCTGCTGGGTCGTTTACGCCGTGGTAAAGCAGGAAGACGGGGTAGCGCAAAATATTGTAACAGCAAAGTCTCGTTTGGCCAAACGTGGTCTCACAATACCGAGATTAGAATTGGTAGCAGGTCACATGGCCGCCAACCTGATTATTAATGTCCAGCAAGCATTTCAAAAGATCATTACAGCAGACTTCCACTGTTGGTTGGACAGTACGGTGGCGCTGTTTTGGATCCTCGGTTCAGGCGAATAAAAAAAGTTTGTCTCAAACCGAGTGAACAAGATCCGCGCGACAACACTCAACCATCACGTGGCACCATGTTCCGACGTCAGAAAATCCCGCAGACTTGGGAAGACGTGGAGGGAGTGTGGTAGAAGTGGAGCTTTGGAGGCTTGGACCTCGTTGGTTGGCAGACCCAGATCAATGGCCTCCAGATATCACTCTGGGATCCAGTGCTTGTAGCAACACTGAGGCAAAGATCGTTCGGAATATCCTCACTGTAGCCGCGTCTGTAAAGGACTCGTTCGATGAGTTACTATCCAAACATGAACTTTGGAAAAGTTTGCGTATCGGAGCTTGGGTCCAAAGATTTATAACCAACTCCAGAGCGACTGCAGAAGACAGACGGTCGGGCCAACTGACCACAAGTGAAATAGAGAACCACAAGCTTTGGTGGATTAAACGAGTCCAGCAGTGAAGCACGGACCACACCCAAGTTCGAGAAGGATCAACAACAGTTAAACTTGCAGCTCAACCCGCAACAGCTTTTAGAATGTCGAGGCTGACTCGAGGGGGGGATACCCCGTGTACTTGTTAGACGATCATCCCTTCACAAGACAGTTGGTTCATCAAGCGCATCTGGAGACCTTACATTGAGGAGTCGTACTCACCATGACAAAGTTGAGGGAACATTATTGGATACCACGACTCCGACGTCTGGTGAAGAAAGTACGAGGGAAGTGTTGGGATGCAAGAGATTCCGAACTAGAGCATTCCAATCACCACAACCCGGTACTTACCAGGAACCAGAACAGCGGCGACACCCCTTACCAAGTCATAGGAGTTGATTTCGCAGGTCCGATATTGTACCGATCCAAGTCCAACGCAGAAAAGAAATCTTATTTTGCATTGTATGGCTGCAGCCTAACCTGAGGAGTGTTCCTAGACCTGCTGCCGTCGTTGGACTTAGAAGAGTTCATTGTCAGTCTAAACGATTTATAGCCCGTCGTGGAGACCCGAGCTGATATACTCGGATAATGACAGTGTCTTTAAAGCGGCGGCGAAGTGGTTCAAAGAAGCCAAGGAGAGTGAGAAGTTCAACAATTATCTGGTCTAACAGTCGATAAAATGGAAGTTCAATTCAAGTAGAGCGCCTTGGTGGGGCTGTCAATTTGAACACCTCATTGGGCTGTTCAAGAACGCCTTTTCGGGCTGCTCAAGAAGACCGTTGGCAACGCAACCCTTAATTGGCCGGAACTCGAAGAACTCGTCCTCGATGCGGAAATTAAATAATAGACCATTGAGCTACCTATAGAGGACGTCATCTAACTACCTCAACTTACACCAAACTAGTACTCGATGTTAGGTATCAACTAGAATGATCTACCGAAACTAGACCCATGGCAGATTCCCGACAAGGATCTTAAGAAAAGAGCAAGGTATCTTGCACGGTGCAAGGAGATGGTTTTGAAGCGGTGGTCTAAGGAATATGTACGTGCCCTTAGAGAACAACATAGAAGAGTGGGAGGTGAACAGACCCCACATCCCACGATTGGAGACGTTGTAATCATTAGAGGAGATGCGAAGAACCGTCATTACTGGAAACTAGGAGTCGTCGAGGGATCCATCGAAGGAAAATCCGGGAACCAAAGGTCAAAACCAACAACGGTATCCTAGAAAGGGCGACACAACATCTCAGCCCTCTAGAATTATCGTACGACCGCCCTCGACCTACAACCCCGCCGCAACAGAGTTCACCCCAAAACCACGCAGAGTCGTGGCGATTGCTGCAGGTTTACGAATTCAGTACATCATCGATACACAAAAAGTGAATAACTTTTAAGAGAAAGAAAACACTGCGCGTTACTGAACGTATTAAAATCTTAGTTAACATATAGGAAGTGTGTCCGGACTCCGGAGCCCGGAGGTAGTGTGACTGGAAGTGCATGCAAGATAAAAATACAGTTTTGGTTGCTTGCTTGAACGTTGCTTGCCAATTCTGCTAGACTCGTAATATAGTAAAGACATCATGACCCTGAACCCCACCCATGCAGACGAAAACAAAACTCTACAGCTATGAGATTAATCATTAGAGAAATTAACAATTTTGAGAGATCAGATATGTAAATTTGACAACGACGAAACTTTTGTTCCATTAAAAACCATGGACCGATGGACTTTTCTTACACTTACTTTTTTAAGATTCGTTACTAATGAGTAACCTAAAAGGTATTATTACATTCTTTGGTTCTAACATATGTATAGAAATAAATGGTTAGACTTGATATAATAATAATACAAATTCCGCATTTTGAATTTCAACTTTTTTGAGACCCTGTATTTCAATGGTTTTTAAAAATACTTCTTGTAATATAAGTACTTTGACTGATCACATTGATATGTTTGGACGGCACACTGAGGTATATAATAGGCATGCCAAGCGTTATCATTACTTGGCTTTCTGCCCATCTCCATGGCTCATGCAGTCTTGCTGACACCGCATTTTCTTCAGGAAATGTTCTGGCTTTCTTTAAAATCAAAATTTTCCCGCTGAAACTGCGTCTCGGCAGCCCGTTTAACACGTACCTCTATTGAACATTTTGCCTGTTTGTAACCTACCGAAGTTTTGAGGAGGCAAAATATTTTGAAATTGCGTGACCGCGAGTAGGCCATTGAATCGAACATCATAACAGTGGAATTGTTTTGACAACAGCCTATAAAATACGCAAGAAAATTTCCCGAAGTCCGGAAGGGGGCAATAATATATAGCATAGACTGCATAGACTGATTAATATCATGATGTATATATTGTATATTTCATACATCCTTACAACCCCAATTCCTAAAAATTGTTTTTCCAATCTATTCCGCCTACGAGGCAGTCTTTCGATAGAAACCCTGTATTTCCTCGCAACATGAAGTTTATTATTTTATTCGTTGAGATTCGGGGGAATTCATTTTTCCCATAGATACATCTATGATTTTTCCGTCTCCAGTCTGTCTCCAGTCCAATCATTTGATTGTGATGTCACGATACACCCCCAATTATCCCCCATGCCCAAATTAGGAACATGTTCGATGTGGCAGCTGTTTCAAATTCAAGCCTTTTGTTTGCTTCGTTGCTAGGCAACAGTGGATTGTGGGTAAATAGGTACGGGCCGCCATTTGCATTCGTTCGGCAAAGAAAAGATTAACAAGGGCTTAATATTCGTTGCTCACGCGTAAACAGCTCAAGATGATGGGAAGATCGAACTATTAACAGGTAAGGGAGTGTTTTAAATCTATTATCCGAAGCCATCTTTTGGATTTAACAAATTTCTAGTTTCCTACGCGGTGCGTTATTTTGCTTCACAATACGTATCCATGACAAATAGATGAATATTATACGTAGCTTGCTGGCTGTTATGTCGAAGGTTTGAAGTTCTCTAAAGTATCTTTCTTACGGTTTACTTTAGCAATGGCTTGGCTTTCATCTTTGGTTCAAATATATTTCTATTGTGAGCCGATTTTGAGTCGAATGAAGGGAATAAGTTTGTCGAAATATTGATCGCACGTTGTCAAGTTTGTAGTCGTTCCTCCATAAACAAACGACATGAAGCGATATCAGACTATTAAAAATCTTGGCGACGGCACTTACGGCTCTGTCACGTTGGCAAGGAATTGTGAAACAGGCGAAAATGTGGCAATAAAACGGTTAGAATACGATTCTTGTGATTAATAGTTATTAATTACTATCAGTAATGTATGCCATTGTGGCCATATAAATGTTGTTCCTTTTGTTGCTTCATACAATGCACCTCTTTACGGTCAATGGGTGTATATAATTTATCACTCAACTGTTGGCATCTGTATTACTATGATCATTGTCTGCAACATTGAGATTCTGCAACAGTCTGTTGTATTATTTCATTATATTGATTTCAACATGCAGCAAATGTAATTGCAAGCTTTCTTTAATTCACAGTGGTATTGACACTATATTTTAGTGCGTTTGACATAAAATTAAGATTGAGTTCTGTATCAACTGTTTTTAAGTTTGTTTAGTTGTGTTAGACCTGTATAGTGGTAACAAAGGACCTAACAAAAGAGTCTTTCACTGCATCTATGGTTTCAAATTGTTCTGTGCAGAAGGTAGCATGATTAGAATATACAAAGTTTAGCACCCTGATGGATTTTTGATAGTCTTGTTTCTGACAAAATAACAGCTAAATTTTTGACAATTGCTATCTTGCAGTGAGTGCATTAAAATCAATAGGAAATACAATTTTAATATGTATGGATGACATCCATTAAAAAGATCTAAAGGTTATCAATAATTTAAATCTTCGATGAGTCTCCTATTTTTGTTCATCTGTTGGAAACGGCATCATTTTCCACAAGATGTTTTATTCTTTGTTATGTGTGCATCAGAATATCCATTGAATCGTAGTTAAGCTTGTAAGACCTATAGGTTTGAACTTCATTTTTGTAGCTAAAATAGAATTAAGCAGACAAGGGAATCTAGAGCTGTTAGAACATGTAACCTAAGGCCTACATGCTAGTGAAGATTTTTTAGACGAAGCCTAAAGGTCTAGCCTAGTGTAAATGCCCTTATTCCAAAGGAATTTAAGCATCTCCCTCTGAGTGTGACATTATCTATCTAACAGTCTATCAAAGGTTCCTACAGAAGTGAGAAATACTTTTTCATTGTAAACTATTTTTTTATTATCAATGTTTTTATACAATTATGTATTTAACTGCATCCCAACTGCAGCATCATTGCTAAGGATGAATGGTTGCTAGGGAAAACATTGTGGGTTTATTTTGTACAAACCTCAATGTTTTTATTTTAATTATCTAAGCTGATTAGCATAAAGTTGGTTAATCTTGATTGGATCATCAGGTGTAAAAACCTGCTGCAGATACTTTTTTAGAAACATCAAAGATTTATGTGAAAATGCGTATATAATAGCAGTGTTTTTGTATGCAGACTGTCTTACACAGATACAAGTGGCAATATAATATTTAAAATTATATTGGCAAACAAATTGAATCTCTAAGAGAAATTGAGAAATTGGTTTCCCTTCACTTAATTCCCTTTGAAAACTGAGATACTTCGTGTCATATTGTTGATTTAGTAAAAAAATGTTTAGTAAGAGTTGTCGCTATCAAACTTTTAACACTTGGCTCTAGTCAGTATAGCTGACTATTCTTCATGCTGTCATCAAAAAAATATGATCCACACCTATTGCACATTATAAGAATATATTTTCTGTATTAGAATATGTCCGTTCTGCTTTTTAATTCACTTATAGAGCACATTTGAGAGTCTGGTAGCTGGTTAACTTATGTTAATATTAAAATTAAGCCATGACCAGGGCAATTAACACATACAAATGCTCATGTCAAAAACTTTTAAAGTCCTAGTTAGTTCGGGTGGATAATGTCCTCAATTTAAATTTTGTATGCCTGATATCCCTGTTGCAACTATACTTTTATTATGGTATGACAAAAAAAGATTGTGTAAATTTGAGAACAATTTCTACATTTTCAATGCCATCTGGCATTTGTAACCGTGTACCCTAAATCCATCTTCTTAACCCATTAGCTCTTTCACAGAGGTATGAGTAGTGTTATATAGTGCATTTAGTGGGATTACTACTGGTATGGCATTGCACAGAACTGTAACATTATTTCAGCTGCTTAATTTATGGTTAACAGTATAGTTCTGTTATATCATGTGGCCATAGTCTTTAACTGATATTAAGTAAAAGCATCCGGGATCACTGGTATAAAACCCGCATGGATAAGTGCTGATTTCACACCAAATAGAGATTTTTTCAACCCAGTTTTTGGTAGATGTGAACGAGTACTGACTATAGTTACGAATCCTCTGATATAAAAGCTCTTATTTGAACATCCGTGACTAATTCACTCGTTCACATCTATCGTCAAAGAAGAAAATCGCAGCAAAAATCGCAAGTGTAAACGGACCTTAAGAATTTTGGAGAGCAATTAAAGTACATTTATAAGTACCAATAAATAAGTTAGGACACTTCCACATCGTTCATCAGCTAGTGTCTATAGCATAACTATCCACTCATTCGCGTCTATCAAAGAAAAAATAAAATCGCATCTCAGTTATACCAATACCCGGGCAAGTTTGGAGTGACCTAAAAGCAGAAAATCACTGTCCGGTTGGTATAGCGCTATCCAGCAGCCATACAATCGTCCCTTGATGTTAAACAGCATGCAATTCTAAATACGTACATGTATACTTTTTATATTTAACTTTTTTAAGAATTGAATTTCGGCTTCGTCAACTAGAATAAAATGCTGTTATGTGCGCGCAAAACGTCCCAGTCATATATCTCAAACTTTGAAGTTTGTGTATTGCATTATTGCATGTCAGTGCCATTTACTCTCGCACGGCCAGTCAATGCATGACATGATTAACTTCATTCCAGCTATAGCTAGCGTTTTTAGTACACTAAAAACGCTAGATGTACGCCTGCCCTTCTTAATATTGGGTAAATATTCCTTTTCATAGCCACTTTTTGCGTCGTTTAAGTTATAAAATTCTATTCAACTATATATCAGGCCTTGAAACAAAGTGGTATTATTGAACTGGTCAAGAAATTAAACTTGTCAAGGAAAACTTGCCCCGTAGTACAGACGGTTCCCCCCGTTCAATTGCTGGTGTGTGTGGCGAACAAGTTGTCTTTGACAAATTTTCCTTGACAGGTTTACGATAATGTGAGTACAATATTTTACGATAATATGAGCCATGATAAAATGAGTATACCACCGAATCTCAATTAAAAAAAACATAAATTGAAAAACTTCAAAAACCCGCTCGATTGGCTCTGAGATTGCTGCGCTGTTCCCTAGAGGTTGCCTTGTCAAGTTTTTTCTTGTTGAAAAGCTGGCATGACTAGCCTGCTCGCAGACTGAATGACTATATAGCTTTTGAACAAGGCTGCTTGTCAAGGAAAACTTGCCGTACAGACACGGGGCATAAAAAAGAGGTAAATTCGTCTGTTTTGTAAAAGTGGTCTATATATTTGGTTGCATTTCATTTTCAAGTGACTTAGCCAATTATACAGCTTTCGTTTGCGTATTCGCGATCGACGTAGCTACGTATTTTATTCACAAGAATATTTTTTCCTGTACCAGTTCATATAGCTAGCATTTAATGATCTCACAGATCGACGAGGCTGACCCCGAGTAGAGAAGTTAACTCGCGCGCGATACTACAGCATTTAACTAGGTCTTGGCCGCTGCCGATCGGTAGCGAACGAAACGATCGAGCTAGACGATGCGAACGAGGTTGCTGATGCGATCGTGTTAAGTCAGGGAATGCGAGCGTTCTTTAAGACTTGCTAAATTTTGACACTTTTAACAGGAACATCTGGAGCTAAACGGTACCCTCTCCATCCCGAGATCACACAGTCACACGCGATTCACTGCGGTGAATCCGTGGAGTGAAGAAGAAATACACGCACGATAAACACACAATAAACACGCCCAAGGCATGCCACAAAAAACTTAACGAATCCCAGAAACTCGCCTACCCGGAGCCGCGAAAATGTCCAATAAAACTAGAACAAAAGAAAAAAGAACAAACCCCGGCAAAATGGGATAAGGACTGGTTAACCAAAAACGGGGAGGGGGACCTGAGGGGGAAGGGTGGGAGTTGACAAACGCAAAAGTGAAGGGTAGGAGCTAAGCAAGTCATATTTATACTAACAGTAGGAGATAATATCGTCTGGCCAACGCCCGGTCCCGTGACAATAACAACATCTCTTCGACATTTGCTTTATTATGAATAATAAGTACATTAAAAATTAATCACACTCATTTATTCTTGTTATAATACTTGACAGCAATACACTCAGCATGCAATATCTATTTTTTATCCCCTATCGTTGCTGTTGAAAAAAAAAATTGCATCGCAATTAAGCCTTCATATTAATAATCTTTAGGTATCAAAGTGCATAGAACCTATATGTTTTCCAAAACAGAGCTATTAGTGGAAGTAATGCATTTATAATGCAGTTCTGTTATGTTCACGAATTGGCAAGTTTTCAGTTTTGGCGGAAAATTTCCCGGGTGTCATTACGCAGTTATGACTCAAAAGTTCCAATAACACCTTGTTACTTCAAAAGGTTAACTTTAGCCTTTCCTATATATTGTAGTTTGAACGAAACAATATTGTAATACAATCTATATTGTAATTAATACGTTAATTAGTCTGGTAATGAAGCAACGCCCCGTTGCAGCTGTACTCGGCTTTTTTATATCTTCCCGCGTATAAAAGGGTACTCTTAGCATGTGGCTTAAGGATTTCGTGTGTGAACATGAGTTTTTGATCCTGCCCAAATCGAGACTAGATTGAGACTATATAGATTGAGCCAAATATATCTGATTACTATATCCCTCCAACTTTAATATTTATTTTAGCGTGTTTATTTTGATGATTAGCTTATTGTGAAAATGAATTGAACTTTGGCGATATTTAATGTACAAAACAGCATAACTCATCAGCAAACCTATCATTACAAGTCTGCATGTTGACATCTGTTAACCACACATTTCCGTGTGTTTTATTACTTTGAAAGTGGGCAAAATGATACGTAGGTTTGAATATAGCAGGGACAGAAACGTCGAGAAATATTTTGTTTACCACATTTTAGGCAAAATGATAGTTCAACCACTTGTCTCAGCGCCTATAGCAAAGCGACAGAAGCCGTTTTTAAAATCAATATTGTTGTAGATTAAAGAATTTAGTTTAGTGAGCTCCGAAATGGATGAACAAAATGCTGAAATTTCTTTTTTTAATTTTTAGGATGAAAAGAAAATATTATTCCTGGGACGAGTGCGTTAACTTACGTGAAGTAAAGGTACTGGAATAATGTATGATATATAGAGGGATATTAATTGAGGGGAACTACGATATATTTAATACCCCACTGCGCCCTTGCGACTGACGTCATAGCTCGTATTTGTAGATTTCTGACGAAATAAATAATGTCACTGATCATTGTTTGTTTTGTAGTCTTTGCGAAAACTAAATCATGCAAATGTTGTAAAACTGAAAGAAGTGATCAGAGAAAATGACCAACTGTATTTTGTCTTTGAATACATGAGAGAAAATCTCTATCAGATGATCAAAAATAGGTAAGGAAATTGTCATTTCGATGTCTACTTTGTGATAGATGAAGAAGTTTTCGTGCAAAAGTTTTGTGTTCTGGGAGTGCTTCATGATTTTGCTAATACTGTTTTCAAAATTACGGTCGTATAGCTAATTTCAGTAAGAAAACTATCAGCTTTATTTTCGTTTACTTTATCTTTGTTTTATTCAAGGGATCGGTATTTGCCAGAGCAAACTGTGAGAAATATCATGTATCAGATCCTACAAGGGATAACCTTCATGCATAAACACGGTATGTATTTATTTGTACCGCTAATCAAGTTCTCTTTGTCATTAGAGTAGATTGTTGGTAGTGTACTAAACAAGGCATATAGTGTAATTTGCAAACCAGACAAATCTGTCGCCAAGGATATGCATATATCCAAGATGGCGGGGTGCATGTGCCGCCATTGTTAAAAAGATATGGAATGTTTAATGTCGAAGATCGATAAGTCACATCGTGAAGTGATTTTGCGATATAGCTAGGGTACTGAATGTGTTTTTGAAATAAATAAAATTTGTCACCGGTATCATTAAGATAACTTTCCTTTTTCCGCATGTGAATGGTCATTTTTAAACGAGCGATACTAATATCCTTCTAGGTTATTTTCACCGAGATATCAAACCTGAGAATTTGTTATGCAGTGGCCCGGAGCAAGTGAAGATCGCTGATTTTGGTTTAGCGAGAGAAATCAGGTCAAGACCACCCTTTACTGACTACGTCTCGACAAGATGGTAGGTCCGGTCGTTGAATACTTTATAACTTAATTCATATATCATCATCTTGAACATGTTGAAAATACGGTGCAGATGGCACGCGTACCGGAAAGCGCTCAAAACGCCACCGCACACTAGAAGACTTTGCAGAGGCCGGTTTTATCAAGCCCGTTGAGCTTAAACGGTGGATAATTTTAAAATATAGAAAGCAAGTCTCCAAGCGAACTGAAAGTTTTTAACTTTAATACAAAGATACTGTTTAGAACTATATATTCAGTGCATAATATTCAAGTTGACTCATTCAAGTGGGATGTAAGAGTGATATTTACTTTTGTCTTATCCACCGTTCAAGCTAAACGGGCTTGATACAAGAGAAACGGGCTTGATACAAGAGAAACGGGCTTGAAAGGCTAACAGCTTAAATACACATAAAAACGAACACCAGGTATCACACAGTACAGTATTTTTCAGTAAGAATAAAGACTTAAAGCAAACGATATAGAACTTAAATTTTAGCAGAAACAAGTTTCGTTAAGGTAGAAGGATTTAAACATGGGTCCCGTCGGTAGGATCGAGAAAAAGAACAATATTTTACACATTTATCACGGAATGAAACTAAAATTTTCCGACATGAATACACCAATAGTTTTTACAACTACACATATTGCATGCCGTTCACATAACATGTTTGAAAATGTTATTTATCTTTAGGTTATACATTATATAAGCTAACCCGGCTTCGTACAACCGCCCCCTTGAATCGAATAGCAAATATACACTTCAGTATTTCAAATGCAAAACTTTTGTTCGAATTTTCTACTCCTTGATGTATTTGACGAGCGCGCGTTTCCAGCTATTATCAACAGTTTATTTTAAATCGGTTTCATTCAAACATAAGGCTTGATTATGAGGTGATATTTCCGATCTCGGCATTCATAAGGTTCTACGTCATCACAAAAACCAACCTTACGGTTGACACTTGCTCGTTATAAGACTTGTGTTTTGTTTCCCATGTATAGAGCAACTATTTATATATTTGACTCAGCATATTATCTCTCTAGGTATCGAGCGCCCGAGGTTCTGTTGAGATCAACCAACTACAGTTCTCCTATTGACATCTGGGCGTGTGGTTGCATAATGGCCGAAATTTATACATTGCGACCTCTTTTTCCCGGTAACAGCGAAATAGATGAAATTTATAAAATTTGTTCTGTGCTTGGAACTCCATCCAAGGTAAGAAATATTCAGAGTGAGCGAAAACACATCATAAACCCACTATTTGTGTTTTGTAAAAAACTCCTGTGTATATATAAGAGTGACTTTGAAATGAAGTCGAAAACCTACCTTAATTCAATTTTTTTAATGAGATCATTTCTTCACATTCCTAAACTGTCTTGTGCATAGTTATAAGCCCCGTTTACACTACAGTTAATTTATCGGCACGGCACGGCTAAAATTGGTACCCGTGCCCAATTTTATTAGTGTTCAGGCTACCAAAACAAAGGCCGAGCATAGATGAAATGGGTATGGGTACCCATTTTAGCCGTGCCGTGCCATTAAATCGAGTGTAGTGTAAACGGGGCTATAGTTGATTAATCTTATCTGTAGCGTGTGTGTATCTATTTCTATTTTGCAGTATGAACGTTCGTTTCCTCTACTATGATTTTTTTGTGTAGGACGACTGGAGCGAGGGATATAAACTTGCTGCTGCCATGAATTTCAAGTTTCCAACGATGGTAAGTTGACACTGACAAGAAACGTCTTTTGGAAGACAGAGTTGTCTAACTATTGCGATAGCTATTTTCATTTTTATTGGTACATCTTAATAGACTTTTAGGCCCAATTTCCCCATGAAATCGTTGATATTTTCATGCAACAGTCCCCATGTGAATTTTATAACTCAGCTACATTTTCCCTTCGAATACACACTGCGTCAATTATGTATCACTTTGTCCGAACGACCCTTCGCTATTTCGCCCAGGCGTGGTAAAAACCACTATGGTACAAAAATAATCCAAGGTCGCTTTGCTGAAACTTGTTTTTCGATAATCGCCTACTAATAGTTCCATTAAATCTTGCATTAAACAACACTAATTCTTCTCGTGTATCATCAGGTGACCACGCCGCTTCGTCAAATCATTCCAAATGCAAGCACGGAAGGCATCCAACTCATCAAAGATATGCTATTGTGGAACCCACAGAAGCGACCGAACGCGGCCCAATCCTTGCGATATCCTTTCTTCATGGTCGGAGTTGATCTTCCCCAAACCAAAGTGAACGCTCAGCGCGGCTCGGCCAAGAAACCGGACGATATTCGGAGAATCAGCGATGCTGGAAAACCAGTTAAACCTCTCACGAAAAACCTAGTGGTTTCTTCGACGATTATGATTTTGACGGGCACGCTAAAGAGAATCGGAATTCACAAGAACCCGTGAACAACGGGTCTATACGACGGGTCAGTGACTCCGGAAAGCCCGTTAAACCGCTGCTGAAAAAGAAAACCAGCGCAATTTTTGACGATTTTGACATCGATAACTTGAAAGATGGCTTGCAACAATCCTACCGGGGTAAAATATCCGATGGGGCCAAAGGATCCCTATCGTCGGCGAAGAACGAGAACAATGCCCGGGGGAACCCGGTTAAAAACGTGGAATCCGATAGCCTTTTGGAGTATGGCATTTCGAACCTCAATAAATCTCATCACAACGGAAAACGATTCGGCGGTAGAGCGGATGACGGAGATACGAGAAAGGAAGCATCAAAAACGACAAAGTTGCCGTATTTAGATAATGTTCCGGATAAAATAAGCATTTCTCAAAGGAGAATCGTGCGCCTGAGCAGTCTAATAGACATCATACGAATGATAACAACAATTACAGTGTTGCAGGCGGCAAGGTCGATATGAATTCAGAGAAAATTCGAGTGTTTTTGGAGGAGAAAGACGGAAGTGGAAGGGGCCTGCCGCCGCAAAAAGATCCAGTCAAGATGATGATCTTGAGAACCTCATGAACGAGATTGAGAGTTCAACTTATAATAACAGCAAACCTGGAGCAAAGGTTAGTTTGCTTTACATGCACTGTTTATGATCACATTTTCATTTCTGCTTTGGGGGTTCTTAAAATGTTTAAGGGAGGAATGGAAGAATGTGGTTTTACCCTGTATAAGTTACATTGCTTCTCTATTGGTTTTATCTAATATACAAAGGTATTGTATACCTTTTCCAATATATTTTATGTTTGATAATCCAAAGTTATACTCTAATATCTAATAAGATATTTACTCTGATAAATGTTCCAATATTCAACAACTTTCATCCAACTTGTGTACCGAAGTTGCATGTATCTTTTAGACAATTTCAATTTACATGCGCGTACGTACGTACGATAACGCAACAATGCGAAACATCGATAACCCTTGTTGCTAATGTTTGTATTATTTATCAACTTGTGTTTTATTTCGCGTGTAATAATTTACCTCTTTATTAAACCTAGGTTCCACCCACGAAACGACGTGAGACGCGAGACACTTTCGAAAAGTAAGTAGTTAAAATAGCGTATAAATTGTTAATATGTGCAGAATTTTATGTAAACACGAAACGGTGGTGAAATTCCTGTTAGTCACAACGAATTAAATACAGTAAGAAAACCAATCAACTGGCGCTTAAGGTCTTTCTACCTGCAGTGACACAGGGACAGTGCAGTAGGCGGTAGAGTTTTCAATAACGACCTATTTATACGTCTTATTCACTTTATAAAGCAATCTTGGGCCGTTGAAAGACGGTGATTCAAATCGTCGCAATCCTCCAAGCGCCAAGGAACATTATATGAAACAAGCGAGATACTTCCCAGGGCAGAGTCCTGCAGCGGCTAACAAAATGCCTGCGAGTAAAAAATCGTCGGTCGGCATGGGTTTAAACGCTTCCTACCTTCCCTCGTTCCATAATGGACAGTCCAGACTAGGAGGAGGTTATGGTATTGGTGGAACCCGGTAGCTCCGTTGGTGAGTTCACAAGCAAAATTTCCCTCAAATATTAAATAACCATGTCCTGTAATGGTCTATCCGATGTGTTTTTTCCCCTTTCTATTACTGTCCCTGCCCACACGGATGAATTTTTTTCAAGAAAATATACATATTTATTCCCCCCTGAGAAGAATATCACAAAATTCCAAAACACTTTCATTTTATTAGCCATAAGATAAACATGCAATATTATCTTCTCCAGGTGTTGGAGGGTACTGGAAACCTACATTATCACGACAGCCAAGTGGTCCAGTGTATCAACCGCCAGGGGCTGCTAAACCTGGCAAGGTTGGGGGAGCTGTTCACGGCCGAACGGACTGGAGCCTAAAGTAAGTAACTTCAATTTGGGTGACCATATTACTTTCCAAAATATCATTATTTCTTCCATCGTAACTCTATCCTACTGTACCTTTAACCCCAATACTGGTTCAAATCTTAGTCGTACTGAGTCTTCAGCCCGGTCAAGTGTACTTAGAATTTTTGCTGCGATTTGATGTGCGATTTTCTTCTTTTGAAAGATGTGAAAGAGTGAATTATTTACTGATGTTTAAGAAAGAGCTCTTATACATCAGAGCATTCGCAATTAATTACTCATTCACATCTGTCAAAAGAGGAAAATCGCAGGTGTAAACGGGCCTTTACTGGCTTCCATATTTTTTAAGTCCATAATTCACAAGTATACTATCCATTTCCTACATCAAAATCCTATCATTTTCCAAAATCCAATCTCATATCTTCTGTATTCAGACCAAGCGAGTAAACAGTAATAAAAGTGAAATCATCCTTTCGGGGTGGTGGTATAGCTAGAACGGGTAATTTAACGTTCTGCGATGTTGGAAACTAAAATCTACGGCAATTTTAGGCGACCCTTCCTCCATATTACCCCTTTCACCCATGAAAGGCTCTCCAAGTGACTTTAATATATCTTATTTTTCTCTAGGTACGGTGGTGGAAGATAAGATTCGACCTGTAATAAAATTTTAACACACATTTCAAGTGACATTCTCAGAATTCGCCACACTTGCAAACTTCGAGAAACTCTGTTCAACAAAAGAGTCAGCGTTTAACTCGTCTCGGGTCGTATAGCAGACAGAATATATTTAAATCCTATTTATTTCAGAGTCGAAATGGACGCGCGTGATGTACATAATAAAGGCTAAACTAGAACTGCACATGTAAATATATTGTTATATAAAACGCCAAGCGTTCATTCAAAGGAGTTGTATAGTTTTAATAGGTTTTTTGAGATTTTAGGCCATTAGCGATCTTAATTGGGGTGGTGGGGGAGGTATTTTGTGACAAAAATGCCTAAATCTGTCGAAACTGCCTAAGTTATCTCCACTCCTCGTATCCCTGTCATAAAGTAGGAACGATACTTTGTTTCACAAGTGGTTACCCTCTTCTTCCGTCCTGGCTTACAAAAGAATGATCAAATGAAGATCTCCCTATGCTCCACTTCGCAGTGCCGGTTTGAAAGGGATTATCAACTGAATATTGCTCTTTTTTCTATTCTTAAATCCTGTTTAAAGATTATCAAATGAACAATTGTCCCATTCTCTCGTCGAACCTTTTTAGCGACAGTCTCTGTTTTGTTAAAGGACCGTTTACACGGTACCGGACGAGTTTAGAATAGGTCCTACATTAGTCCTTTTCGGTCTTTCGTTTACACGAGAACAGTAAAGTCGAACAAATTTGAGACCCATATCAGGACGAATTCGATTCGCGGCCAAAAATGAGGTTCAGCTTTTGACTCGATCAGTAAATTGGTGAAGAGTCTACGAAATGTAAATGTGAGACACGTCCATGGAGTGCAATTACGAAAAGTTTCGTAGTTGCAAATATACATCTTTCAAAAGTAGAATTGTGTCGCCAGCTGTATAAATAATTGCACCGTGTAACAGGGCTATAGAGAGGTTAAGATACCCCGGTTTCGGTATATGGGTACGGGTAGCCATATTTTGTTCATTGGAATTTCTTGTTTGCACGTTTCAAATACAAATAATGCTTACATTAACAGGCTAAACTCTACTACTAGAGAAGAATTGTCGAGTTAATCTTCGAAAAAAACTGAGAAACACTGCTGGAAACTCATTGAACAAAATAAGGCTACGCGTACCCGTACACCGGAACCTGGGTACCTTAATCATCACCCAGACCCGCCGAAGAAGTTGATCCAGTTTCTCTCTGTCCATCTCACTGTGAACCTAAGGTAGGAATGTTTACTAGTAAGGTACTCCATAGCATCATTTTATTATATATAACAGATCAAATTTAGATATATTAACAACTTGCGTCTAAAATAGTTCCTTTGGTCTATTTAAATTCTAACATCGTTATTCAAGTAGCTACTTTGAATTTAAAATTTGCTGCATGCAGAATAACTCATTTTGACTATCGCTGAACAAGAAGCCATTTAATCAAAAAGATAAACTTGGGAAAACATGCTATACTCATCGATTCCAGTATGCAAAGGATTGTGATTGTAAATCATTGCAACATTTTCTTCCTTTGGGATGAAAATCGATTCTTGCTTAACCTTGCTTCTTGAACGAAGAAATTGGAAAATATTGACTCAATTCAATTGATTCTTGAAAGTGTGGAATAGCTTTTTCGGACGCCCATTCAAAGGCAGGCTTTTCTGGGTGCCATTGTGTCGAATAAAACGGGTATTTTCTTGCTTCCATTGTCGATACAAATTCCACTCCTCGTCGATCGATATTTGTCGTAAGAACTCTGTAAAAATCTTTCAACTCTTTGCTCTCTTGAAATAATTTGATGGGAAACGAGAATATATGAAAATGCGAGTGATTAAAGTTCCATTGAATATTCTCAGCCGTTCTTGGGGAATATCTCGGAATAGCTTGCTGTCACGGTAGTTTTCTGGGAGATTTAGAGGTGCCGTCATGTTTTGAGAGTCGGTCGGAACACGGTCATCTGTGTTTCCATTCACCAGCATCGCCAGGATATGGTGTCCAAGACACATGCCCATTATTGGAAAATAACCTCCTTCGTCGTACGTCGCTTTAGCCAGCTCGAATATTGTCCTCGAAACGTTAGTGTAACCTGACGTCAACATATTTACTTTTCCACCGGGAAAAACAGCACCATTGATAGAGTAAAATAACTTTTTAGTCTCGTCCTCTGTTAGATTATTGAAGATTGGGACCACACGCGCACCCGATGCTTCTAGAAACTTCACGTACGATGCCGGAATGTATATTTTGCCAAGAGCTTCAAACGACATGTTGAAAGTTGATTGCGCCATCACTCCTATTATCGGCCTTTCTGTTTCAATTTGGCGTCCGGTGCCGTTACCAAAGGCGAAACTAAAACAAAACAATATAAATTTGGCAAAAAATAACCTCATCTTTCTTTTCATCTTAACAAAATCGACTTCATGCACGACATGTACAGTAAAATGTACTTCAAAAAAATATTTTTGAAGAATGAGATTTATTTCCAAGAATTCGGCGCAGGTGGCATGCAAGTGGTCTTTTTTTTATTGCAAATTTCTGTGAGATGGTACGGGTATTTTTGCCACGGAAATATAAAACATATGATAGTAAGTTGATCTAAAAGAAGTACGTTAGTAAGCCAAGGAAAAAGTGGGGAAAACCTATGATATCGATCGAGAGGCTATTCACCCTAACCCTAATCCTAACCCTAACCCTAACCCTAACCCTAACCCTAACCCTAACCCTAACCCTAACCCTAACCAGTAATTTTAATTTTGCTTTATTTTATGCTTTAAACCTTTCCGGTTGGTCCTAATGTTGTGAGTCATAGAAGGGACCGTTGCTTAAATTGAATATCTCTTCAACTATTTATGCTAAAGATGCCGGAATACCACCAAACGATAGCGCTTGAAGAGGTCATATAGATAGTATATTCAAATCAGCAAATAGTTATAATCCGCACTTGTATTATAAGCCAAAATACTAGCTTGCGTTGTTATCTCAAATTACTTGCCCATGGCAACCATATACTTTTCAAAATTCCATATTTCTCAATTTATTTTGTTCTCTGTTGGCTTTAGACTGTCTTAATTTTGCCTATTATCAATCTGTCATAACTTCGATGTATTTTTGGATTAGGATGTGCAAAAGAATCGAAGAAATAGCCATTTTAAGGCTCCGTCCACACGATGCCGGAAGAATTTGAAAACGCAATAATCTTACGGTTACGCGTATTGTCCACACGTATCCGGCGTTTTCGCCCACTGAAAACGGAAAAATCTGAAAACGCTTTCCAGAGTGGAAGAATTTGAAAACGACGGCTGAGCGGATACGTGTGGACAGCTTTGCCGGATAAATTTGCAAACGATGACGTCACGTATCAAGTCGTTTCCATATTAATGCTTGTTTCAAGTCTGCTGGCTTTTGCTCCATTTTATGTTGCTATATTAGCCTCAAATAAGTCTTATTTAGGTTATTTTCATGGTGAGAAAAATCTTCGGCAATTCTAATAGCATTTGCGCAAGTATTTTACGAGAGAAACATGTCCAAAATGTATGTTTATACATGCACAAATTCGTATGCACGAAATGCATTTAACAAATACTCAACAACAATAATTATGAGTTTGGTCTTGTCGTCTGTCCAAACAAAGTCCTCATTCTTGTTTTTCACTTTGTATTTGGTAGATTTTTGCTTTGAATTCGACATCCAACCTGTGACATGCGGGTGGAAAACATGAAGGTGTATTGCAGGATCAAATAACTTTAGCGTTTTCGGGTCGTTTTTGCGCAGGTTTTTGTGTTTACGTGTGGACGCGGATAAATATTTTAACGGATATTTTTGCGTTTTCACATTCTTCTGGCATCGTGTAGACAGGGCCTAAGATCTAAGCGATAAGCCTTGATGAGCGTTGCTAAGCGCGTGCTTAGTGCTTGCTCAGAATAATGTTTTCACGCGGTTCAAAAATGTGACAAAAGTCTGTGTTGCCCACCCCCTAGGGTAATTTTGACCCCAAAAATTGATTCCTGGCGTAAAATTGGATCAAGAGGTCAGTTTTTTGGCTTTTTTTCCCGAAATTTTGGGGGAATCTTTTTATTATTGTGAAATGCTTGCCGTGAGCGATGCGATAATACATACCATGACGCAGATTATAAATGTTTATGTAAAAAATCGGCAAAAATCGTCTAAAAGCACGATTTTGAAGCTAAAAATAGAAATATCCTAGAAATATCAACTAAATCACTGTAACCAGGTTTTGTTTTCGTTTTGGGCAATATTCTAAGGATTAGGCCGCTTTGAGGTATAAATAAATCACATGCATTATAAAGTAAATATCACAGCGAATTTGAAACATATAGAACTAAAAAAACATCTATCTACTGAGGACAATGTCTTCTTTTAAATGGTTTAATTTTTATTAAAATCGGCCAAGTATTTGCACAGAAAATGCAAGTTAAAGTGAGCCAACCAGGCATAGGCGTACGGGCGCAACTTCGTTTGGGGGGGCAAAAAAAAATCGCCCGAATTTTTGAATTACACAATGTGCCCGAATTATAACTTTTACCAGATTTGTAACAATAGATTTGGCAAAGCGGCGGATGTACTTTTAAGAAAGTATAACAAAAATAGCGAAATAGAATACAAATATGTTATATATATTACAAAATTTGGTTTTAAAAATTTTAGCTATGTAATTTAGCTTTCAGTTTGCCCGAAGTTTCGGCTGAACTTTGCCCGAATTTCTTGATTCTCGAAATTTTTGGGGGGGCAATGCCCCCCCCTGCCCCCCTGTCTCGTACGCCTATGCAACCAGGTCATCTGATCAGATGACAAAGAGTTTTCTACAGTATATAAGAAGGGCTCGATCATGTTTTGACACAAAGATACTTTTTTACAGTAAGCTTATCTTAAACAAGGTTTATAAAAGCTCTTTGTTCAAATGAAAATTGTTTGTTCTTGAAGTCAACACAACACAGCCGTCAAACACAGCTCTTCACGTTTATTCAAGGTGTACAACACTGGGGATGTTTTAACGATCGGATACAAGGTATTTATAAAATAACTATATAGGCCAGTACGTATACATAGGCTTTCATGTTTGTCTCAGGCTTCAATAAAGTGAATTATAGGTGGAGATATATGAGCTTGGATTCTGACCCGATCCCTCTCATATTTACAGTTATAATAATAGTGCATTGCCTTAACCTAATATGTAATATTGTGCTTCTAACGACTGCTGGTCTAGTGTCGGAAAGGAT